ACGGGACCATCCTGCCCGGCCCCCCGAGCTCCTGGCCTGGGAGGCTCACCCCCCGGCCCCTCCCCCCCGCTGTTTCCCCTCCACCCACAGCCTCAGCTCGCCGTGCCACCGGCGCAATGCTCTTGGCGGCGGGGCTGTGAGCTCCTGGGGCAGGGCAGCTGCAGAGCCCAGCCTGACCCGGTGCTCTGTGCTGCATGGTGGTGGCGACAGCGGGGTGTGTGTGGCCCGGCTACAGCTGGGCTGTGCGACTGTAGCACCGCCAGCCACCGGTGCTCCAGGTAGCGCGGTAAGGGGGCAGGAAGCAGGGGGGTTGGATAGAGGGCAGGGGAGTTAGGGGTGGTGGTCAGGGGGCGGGGGTGTGGATGGTGGTTGGGGGGGAAAGAGGGGGTTAAATGGGGACAGGGGTCCCAGGGGAGCAGTCAGGAAGGAGGGGGGGTTGGATGGGGAAGCGGAGGTCCGGGGGCAGTCAGGGGACAGGGAGTGGGGGTGTGTGTGGATGGGGCAGAGGTCCCAGAGGGGCCGTCAGGGAACAGGGGGGGTTGGATGGGGCAGGAGTCCCGGGGCGGGGGGCAGATAGGAGGTGGGGAGGCTGGGCCATGACCCCCTCCCCTAACCAGCCCTCCATACAATTTACGAAACCCAATGCAGCCCTCAGGCCAAAAAGTTTGCCCGCCCCTGGACTAGTGTGATAAACCAAAATGAGAGATGGCTTCTTGTAGCTTCTACAAAGTCCTGGTGCTACTCTAATATTTTGTAAAGTCTCAGTTCTTCAAAGAGAAGGAGCCAAATTCATCTCTGGTGTAACCCTACATCATGGCTGATTTTAGCCATCATGAAGAATGCAGCAGTTTTCTCAAACCTCTCCAAACCCATTTACACTTCCAGTCAATATCTACAAAAGTGTTTTTTTTAATTATTTACAGGAAGTGAAGTGCAGAGCACTTCTAGCTGCTTAAAAGCTTTCCCTTTTTTGAAAGCAGTCATGCAATTTTGCACAAAATGAAAATATCTTGGGCATCCTTTATTTAGCCTGCAGCAGCTGTTCATGTGTTTCATGTTAAATAAAACATAATTATGCTTTGCTAACGTGGAAAAAATAAAACTCCAGGCTGTCTTCCCTGCAGTTGTATATTTAGCTGAAGGCATAAGAATTTTCCTACAATAAGTTCCAAATTTCTTTTCTTTTGAGTATGATTCACCACCTTACCGTTTAACAGATACTCCCTCTGATTTCTTTTTGTGACTGATTATTCTGTATTCATCTGCACTGAACCAAGGCTGGCGTGAGTTAATCCAGGTGCTTGAATGATGTAATCCCTCTTTGTTTAATTGGCTCCGTTAGACTTTCCACTCATCTGTCAGCTGAAAACGTGAATATTTTGTCCAAGCAGAAACCTAATTAAAAAAATTTAGTACAATACTGACCTATGCAGGGGTCAACTTCCCATGTTATTAAGTTACCAATTTTAGCTACTTCTTTGCTTCCCTGCTTTTTAGCTGATAGTTCAATGAGACAACTTTTCCATTTCCAAATTGCATATTAGACCAGCATGATAGAACGGCTGGATTCAGCGCACTTTCAATACTCAAAACACATGGCATGGTAAAACACTCTATTTTGGGAGGGAATACTGGAATGTTTATAGCTGTAAACAGCCCTGGATATGATGTACCCTTTTAAAATATGACATTGGAGAACAGGTTTGTCTCTTAATCAGGATGAAATAATGAAAACAGCCCTCAGTGTGAGAGATGAAATCATGACTCTGCTGGAATCAGTGGCCATAGTCACAGTCCATTTTGGTCAATTTCATGGTCACAGGATTTTTAAAATAATAAATTTCATGATTTCAGCTATTTAAATCTGAAATTTCACAGTGTTGTAACTGTAATGGGTCTGACCCAAAAAACAATTGGGGGCGTAGGGGGGGTCGCAAGGTTATTGTAGGGAGGGTTGCGGTACTGCTAACCTTACTTCTGTGCTCCTGCTAGCAGCGGCACTGCCTTCGGAGCTGGGCAGCTGGAGAGCGGCAGCTGCTTGCCAGAAGCCCAGCTCTGAAAGCAGAGCTACCGCCAGCAGCAGCGCAGAAGGAAGGATGACATGGTATGTTATTGCCACCCTTACTTCTGCTCTGCTGCTGGTGGGGAGCTGCCTGCAAAGCTGGGCGCCTGGCCAACAGCTGCTGCTCTCTGGCTGACCAGCTCTGAAGGCAGCACAGAAGTAAGGGTGACATTACTGCAAGCCCCCTAAAATAACCTTGCGAATCCCCTGCAACTGCCTTTTGGGTCAGGACCCCCTATTTGAGAAATGCTGGTCTCCACTGCAAAATCCCTATAGTATAGGGTAAAAACACACAAAAGACCAGATTTCAGAGGAGGAGAACAGATTTTGTGGTCCGTGATGTGTTTTTCATGGCTGTAAATTTGGTAGGGCCCTATGTATGTGCAACGGTCTATACTGGCTCTGGACATCCTAGGGATGCACCATATGTCAGGTGTGTTCTTGGGTGGGGGAGGTGGCTTATAGGCAATGGCTGTTTTGTGGCCACTTTCCATGGACATAGCACAAAAGGGCTGCAGGTCAGGAATGAATTTTCCTTCCTCCCCCTGCCCAATCCTACAAGCTCCAGATCCTCAACTTGTGTAAAGCATAGTTCAGTTGAGGGAAATGGAGCTGCAGTTTACATCAGCTGGGGATCTGGCCAGCACTACATCTGGGATCCATTTGCAACTCTATCAGCACCACATTCTTAAACTTAAAAGGAATTTCTTCCTTTGAGATAACAAGTGCTATTAGCTCCCCATCAGAGGGACAAAGTGATACAACTCTCCAAACACACAGCTGAAGAATTCCATTAACTCAGCTGTCTACTGAGCTTGGTGGATTGGACATGGCTGCTAACCCCCTTTTCAGTTACAGATGTTGCTTACTATACACTCATTGGTTTTCTATCCTTACGATTTTTGCCACAATGTATACACATCTCTGAACCATTAATGAATAAAAAAAGGATAGGAGTTACATAGGTTTAAATGAAAAAATTGATGATCAGTTGAAGTATTTTACATAATATTATGCCTGATACTTTTTGCTTTCATTTTTTAAAGAAGATTATCTCACCTTTTCTTAACCGAAGTGTCCAATTTGTAGATGCTTCATTCCAGGCATGAGTCTTTGTTAAATTTCAATGTTTCCAGTCATTCACCCAAAGCCTTGAAATTTTAAATTGTTTATTGCTAAATTAGACTCTGTTAAATTGATGTGTAGAGATACCCTGAAGCTGAATAGAAGGCAGATAACAAAGAGAAGCTAATTAACCACTAACACAGAAGAGACAATAATGATGCCCAGCAGCAAACAGCCTCACAGAACTAGTCTCCAAATCATTGGAGAGCTATTTTTTGTTCTCATCTCTGAAGTGTCTCAAGCTTCTATAGATTTTAATTTTGTTTTGCTCTGGAACTATGACTGTCAGTGAACATAAGAACATAAGAACAGCCGTACCGGGTCAGATCAAAGGTCCATCTAGCCTAGGGTGACCAGACAGCAAATATGAAAAATCGGGATGGGAGCTGGGGGGTAATAGGAGCCTGTATAAGAAAAAGACCCAAAAATCGGGACTGTCCCTATAAAATCGGGACATCTGGTCACCCTAATCTAGCCCAGTATCCTGTCTACCGACAGTGGCCAATGCCAGGTGCCCCAGAGGGAGTGGACCAACAGGCAATGATCAAGTGATCTCTCTCCTGCTATCCATCTCCATCCTCTGACAAACAGAGGCTAGGGACACCATTCCTTACCCATCCTGGCTAATAGCCATTAATGGACTTAACCACCATGAATTTATCCAGTTTTCTTTTAAACGCTGTTATAGTCCTAGCCTTCACAACCTCCTCAGGTAAGGAGTTCCACAAGTTGACTGTGCGCTGCGTGAAGAAGAACTTCCTTGTATTTGTTTTAAACCTGCTGCCTATTAATTTTATTTGGTGACCCCTAGTTCTTGTATTATGGGAATAAGTAAATAACTTTTCCTTATGCACTTTCTCCACATCACTCATGATTTTATATACCTCTATCATATCCCCCCTTAGTCTCCTCTTTTCCAAGCTGAAGAGTCCTAGCCTCTTTAATCTCTCCTCATATGGGACCCGTTCCAAACCCTTAATCATTTTAGTTGCCCTTTTCTGAACCTTTTCTAGTGCCAGTATATCTTTTTTGAGATGAGGAGACCACATCTGTACGCAGTATTCAAGATTTATATAAGGGCAATAATATATTCTCAGTCTTATTCTCTATCCCCTTTTTAATGA